CCACTGAATATATAATTTAAGCTTTAGCCGTTCGCATAACTGTGTGAATCGAGGCTTTATACAGAGGCCGTACCGACAAGCTACGCCCTGCTGTATGGTATGATGGGCTAAGACCTATCACGCGCCCGCGGCGCAACCACGAACACCGTCCCTAGAAGACGCGCCATCTATGTACAGGTATGTGCTGGCCGCTTAAAATATTGTTATTTTAAATGCAATGTACCTAATATCCGGTTACAGAATTTATTGTACCGAGATACCTATTCGATTCCCGATTCGAACCCAGATGAATTTTTTCATAATCATCATAACCATGCGAATAAACATAATTAATTATACATAACATATAATTATACACGTCGGCGCAGAGACGTTGATATTAAGAATATTCTTAATCGTATCCGTCGACACGAGTACATTCTGAGATTACTCACTTGTTAAAAAAAAAAATGTTCCTAGATGGTGGACTTAGATAGCGTCTTAAGATGCTAAACAAAGTTTATGTGGTTTAAGCACTTCAAAAGGGATGATATTTTAACCGCAATTAAACTTTTAACAAAAGATTCATTTATGGTTTAAAGAAACTTATTAATATATTATGTTTATCNTGTTTCTTGAACTTTGTTTGATATTTAGTCATAATTCATATTTTATCGTCTGGCGTAGAAATTTCTACACGATTAACATGAATTAATTCCAATTAATTCGCCTTAGACTGGCGACCATTTTTTTTAGACGTTAATACGTTTTTTCACTAAAAAATAAATAAAAAAAAAAATAATAATAAAAAAAATAGAATGCTGGGGCAACAGGTACATCAGTAGTACCATATTGCCCATTTAAGCTTACCTTTCCTTGGCAGTGAGTGAATAAACCACGGATACTCTCGGCGCACTTAAGGGACTCTTATCTAGGTATAAATAAGACGTCAATATGTAGGTGACAATTTATTGCTTGACACAGGTTGTCAATGGTTCACAATAGTTGTCAAAGGTTCTCAAAGGTCAAAATACTCCAGGTATATAAAGCCAGGGAAAAAAATCTGGACACCGCGGTACAGCTTTACGCGTCTCAAAGAGCAGTGACATCTCTCGGCAAATAACACAAACAAGTTTCATGGTAGGTTTATACATATCGCCCACCAAGGACCGTCCAAGGTCCTTAACAACAGGAAAATTGAAAAGAAACCAAATGAAACTTATGCGAATGCATCGCCCACCATGAAACAGGTTACGGTACACATCAACAATAAAATTAAAATAAACCATGTAAAAAACCATTGTACCGTAAAATAACAAAAACACTTTCAGTTAACTCAAAACCTTAAAACTAAATAAACTAAAATTATTTAGCCTTAGGAAGGAGACCAAATCGTTTACCTTGAAACTCTACAACTTAAACATCGTCCTTACCGGGATGGACCACAATCACCCTGCCACTGAGCCAAGACCCGTAGCTAGTTGTCCTCCCTTATGACAACTAAATCGCCAACTGTTAGGTTGACGAACTTGCATAGTCCACCTTTATGTTTTTACTGTACGACGCGACGTTCATACAGCTGTGAATTCAAGTCTCCAACCAACTCTCAACTTACTGTTCCTAGCAAGAAAAGGATTCAAGCACCGGAGAAAACTACGTTTGGATAAGTACACATTTTCTTTACATTTCAACATCAGCACTAAAGTTTTCAGATTGGCATGCAATACAACCCATAGCCTTCTGTATCTCTACTGTTGTTGAATACCCGTCGCGTTTCTCAAGCGTATCCTTTTATATTTAACTTTTCTTTTTGTTTCAGGTTTCTCGAAGGTCTGCACGTCGACCTTGTAGCGGTATACATTTTCACTTCGGTTCCAGGTAATGCCACCACTTTTTATTATTTTTTTAGCTTTCCTTTTCAGCCCTTCTTCGTTTCCTTTCCGTTGACTTACTTTACCATCTTCGTTCGTTGTAATTACCACACCTTCACTGTTAGTAGTCAACTTTTGCAACGCACATTCTTCTTTACCTAACATCATATTATTCATTTCTCTGTAAAATAGAATCCCCTGATCGATAGTTTCGCAACCCATCATGAGATCGTCCACATAAAAATCTGACAATATCTTTTCAGCCGCCGTTGGAGAACCTTCACCATGATCCAAATTCATGTCAACATATTCATTAGTAACCTCTGTGTATTTCTGTTTCAGATCGCCATTTTTCAGTCTTCGTTTTAATGAATACATTCTTTTTTCAGGTGTTTGCCAGGAATTCTTCACATCGGGAACTTCATTCTTCACCGGGAGACGCTCATTGTATCGACCAGTATCATCTCTACGACTAGTTCTGGTAAAGTATCCTTCACGTGTCTTTTGATCTTCTGTACATGTTCGTTCCTTTGGCAACGGAATGTCATCTTCTAACTTACGACATTTTCTTTGAAGCTGATTATCCTCCACGCTACAATGCATCAATTTTATTGTTTCAGAGGGCTTCGTGGGCGTGTGAACAACACCAGACAGAATCCACCCCAATGACGAACACTGAGCAAGTGGTGAACCAAGCGGTCCCTTGATGACTCCGTTTTGAATAATCCGGCTATATGCTTCTGAACCCAACAACAAATCTATACTATTGGAAGTATAATAGCTCGGATCCGCGAGGACAAGATCCTGAAGTTCCTTCCATTCCTCCGCTCTTATTTTCCGGTTAGGTAAAAGCGTTGTGATGGACCCTAGTACGTAAGCTTTCACTGTGATAATAAAGTTCGGATCGACCCGTGATGCTATTTTTATTTCAATCATCGACTTTGTCGTGAGCCCGTTCGTACCACCTACTCCTACTATCTGCCCTCTAGCTGGTATCTTCTTCAACCCCAATAAATCAACCATAGCCTCTGTAATAAAAGAGGATTGGGACCCTTGATCCAACAGAGAACGAATAGTATAGGTTTGGCCGTATTTAGACACAGTATCTACAAGTGCCGTCGCTAGCAATACCTGGCTACAATCCACAGTGCTTCTTGTAGACGTGCAGGAAATAACAGCACCAACATTCTTGGTATCAGCCGTAGTAACCTCCCCGTTTTGGGGTTCCTGAGCAGCAATCTTGTTCGTAGGATGCAGCAGAGCGTGGTGCTTCCTCTTGCATATGCGACACTTGTATTTGCTGTGGCAGAATTTGGCAGAGTGATTGTTTCCGAGACAACAAAAGCAAACATTGTGAGAAGCAACAAATTCGCGACGTAAATCCACAGACGTATCCCTAAAACCCTTACACGTGCTCAATTTGTGCTCCTTCTTACAAAAGGGACAGACTAACGTGGTAACGTGCATGGCCTTAATTTGACTAACAGGCAAGTTTTTGTTAGGAATTAGTTTGGACTCTGAACTCAAAAACTCAAGGGCGCGGTAACGGTTTTTAAGAAACTGTTCGAACTGATCGTAAGTTGGTAGCTCGGTAGAGTTATTATCCGCGATGCTAAACTCCCATTGCCTTTTTGATTCAGGGTCCAACTTCAAAGTTATTATATGAATTACCAGCACGTCCCAGGTACTTGTATCTATGCCAATATTAGACAGAGCGGACAAACAATCATTTGTGGTGAAAAATTTTTTTGATCGAAATTATTCTAAGTGTCGGAAGCCACCTTTAATTGGCTCTAAATCTGAAAGCGTTTGTTTTAGAGAGGTAGACCATATAAGCTTTTGTGCTTTGTTTTACGTCTTCTATGCGATTCTTGCAAGAAAACAAGGAATAATTGAAGAAAAAAAAACTCGTCGAAATTATTCTAAGTGTTGATAGCGCACTTTTAATTGGCTCTAGAAAGTTAACGGTTGGTCCTAGAAAAAAAAGTTATCTGAAGATTAGTCTTATTTTTATCTATTCTAAACATTCCCGGCAAAAAAAGCCAAAAATTCAAAAAAAAAATTTTTTTCATAAAAATTTTTCTAAGTCTCGTGCCCCATAGCGCCCCGTTTCCTATACTCCAACCAAAAGTGTAGCTAAACTGTCATAAGTTTGTTTTAATTTCTAACAGACTTGAAAAAATAAGATTCTTTTATTTTTTAACAGACAGGCGGTTCTTAATTCAGTTCTATGTTTTTCTCTAATAAAAATCTTTCACAGATTCCCACCGGATCGTAAAAAAAGAGATCATTGGTTAGAAAGTCTCGATTTAACTCCGAAAGATTACCATAATGGAGCAAAGGTGTGTTACCGACACTTTAAAACGTCGGATTACTCACACAACAATCCTCGACAGGCGCTGAAGAAGACTGCCGTTCCAGCCCTAAAGGTTGAAGATGATTCTGATGCGGAAAGGTAAGATTTTTATTCAAACTACTAGCTGCGCCCGCGACTTCGTACGCGTGAAAACCTGTTTTTGCATCATTTTTCATTGTTGCTCTGCTGATAGTACTCGTAGCGTGATGGTATATAGCCTATAGTCTTCCTCGGCAAATGAGCTTTCTAACACTGAAAGTATTTTTCAAATCGGACCAGTAGTTCCTGAGATTAGCATGTTCAAGTAAACAAACAAACTCTTCAGCTTTATAATATTAGTATAGATTTTCACCACTGACTTCTATCCACACTGGACAGGCTGTCTCATACAAATGATAACTAATTTTGTGTGCCAATTTGAAGCACCTGAGTGTCCCGAGAACTAATTTTGACTTACATTATATGAAGAACAAACCCACAAGACCACCACAAGACTGAAAAGATGGCAAATACTACAGTTGGACCAAAGATGCTAGTGGCTCGGACTGAATATTCCAATATTACCTCCGGCCGGACTATATAAAATATATGCTACATGAATGAGTGAAGACTGAGGGAGAGAATTTATTGAAATAACCCCTCCTTAAGAACACAAAAAAAGCAAAACAAAACATCTGATTATGACCCAAGTCGATTGCAGATATAAAAATGGCCTACAGCACCAAAATGGTGAAAATCAAATAGGCACAAAAATATTATAACAGCACCAGTCCAGTGGGTATAGAGGTCAGTGATTTTCAAGCATATGAAGTAGCGGCCAGTTTAATATAATAAAACTCATTTATTTATGCAAGTAGGCTTTTAAAAAGCACTTACGACCCAGTATTAACCCTACCACTGCTTCAGGACAATAAATGGGCCAGTGCTGAGAAGCAGCGCTAGAAACTCAGTCACTATTACAACTTTTCAACGTAATCCTACTAATATTATAAATGCGAAAGTTTGTGTGGATGTTTGTTACTCTGTCACGCAAAAACGACTGAACGGATTTTGATGAAACTATAGTATTATTGATTATAACCCAGAATAACATATAGGCTATAATTTATGACGATATGTGACAAACTAAATTTCACGCGGGTGAAACCGCGGGCAAAAGCTAGTATACCTACAATACTTTTGTCCCTATCAAGATTTGAACCTGCTTGACTTATGGTCCTATGTCCCCTAGATGGGGCAGAGGGCGTCCACAACAGTCCTCCATCGCGTTCGGTCTTGAGCTATGTGTTTGATCTCGCTCCAAGTCTTGCCGATCTTCTTCGCCTCGTCTGCCACAGTGCATATTTGAACCTGCTACCATAGCAGATAAATATCTAAGTCCCACTTTTTCTCTTTCAGTCTCGACATAGATACTGCTCTGGAAAAGCTCAACGAAGTGACATCATCAGAAAGTGACGGTGGTGGTGACGTTGATGATTATATATCTGCAGAAGAATTAAGTATACCATCTTCTGACGATGAGCCGCCGAAGCCAGCTAAAAAGAGGAAGAAAACTGCCATAAAAAAGAATCAAGACGCAAAGGTTAAGAAAGAAGTTAAAAAGAATGCTAAGGTATGTTGTTTATGTTTGTATATTACTAAAGTCCAGTTCGATCACGTAGAATTTCGTTCAATGACCCCAAGCCACCCATCCTTATCACTCGCGCGTAATATTATATTACTGTCGCGACTGTGCGACGGGCGCCCGCAGTGAGTGTGCGAGCGCGACAGCAACATAATTACGCGCGAGCGATAAGGATGGGTCGCTTGGGGTCATTAGAAATTGTACGTGCTTGGCGACCGGACTATAATATGATGATGATGTATGTTTGTTACTCTTTCACAAACTACTGAATGGTTACTTTTAAATATTTTTTCAGGTTCCGAAGGCTGTTAAGATATCTGAAGAAGATTTGAATACACACTTAGGGCTTCAGGTAATTATGGGTTTCCTTAATGCGCTCATAAGTTGGCCCCACTGGCGACATATCGTCTAACTCAAAGGTGACTGACTGACTGACTGACATAGTGATCTATCAACGCACAGCCCAAACCACTGGACGGATCGGGCTGAAAGTCATGCAGATAGATGTTATGACGTAGGCATCCGCTAAGAAAGGATTTTACGAAACTCCACCCCTAAGGGGGTAAAACGGGATTCACGCGTATAAAGTCGCAGGTTTTGACATAATTTTAGCATTAGAAATGCAAAAAGTAAATTATTAAAACGTTTTCCAGGTGTGTCGTATTTGCTTGGTCACCGGCTGTAAAATGTTCTCGATGTCACATTACAACTTGGAGAATACCTATCTCCTGCTGACTGGAATCACGGTAAGTGGAAAAATCATCATCATTCATCATTTCAGCCATTGACAGTGCACTGTGCACTATGCCAGGCCTGTTCATCTCCGTGAGTTTACATCAAAAACAAAACACGCACGATGGCCCACCTACAGGATACTATTCGACAAGGCCTCACATACGAGCGAACATTGACTCACGCACGCGTATTCTTGTGTATGATGGAAGAAAATAAAGAAAATGGTGTACTAAATACTGTGCAGTATTTAACTGCCTAAATAATAATAAAAACACAGAATGTACTTTTTTAAGTTGCCTCAAGACACTGAGAGGTAAATGAGTAGTTAATATTATTCATGATAATTCATGCTAAATCATGTATTTCCTCCGCCATTTTCCGCAGTTTGGCACCTCACGTCACATCATTTTACCGAAGTCAGCCCTATAGCTTCGGCGCAGTGCCGATCACTGACGTTTGTCAACAAAATGGTGCTTGACTCTTGAGACAGGCTAAATTACACCATATTGTTAATGACATTGAGCATACATTTTTTTAATATCTTAACGAAGTAAAACTTCTGTCGTACGTAGTACTTATTATTATTCTGTGACTATGCCCCGATCGCGCTAATTTTTAACGTCCCCAATATTCATTGGCGCTTCTTCTCCAGTTGCGCTCCGTTTTCATTCCAGCTGAGGTGCAAATTCGGTATCGCGGTAAAGTTCACGCGCAAACAAAGACAAAACAACGGATTTAAACACTCCGATAAAAATCCGAACACCTTATTTTTTCACTATTCACAGCAAATGTTCGTGTAGGCGTTTGACGACTTGATTTTGAGAAAAAGTAGCCTTCTTTCAGTTTTTACATTTTACACAAAGAAGCAGTTGCGTTTTGTTTTACGTACCGTAACCGTAACGTAAACGCCTCGTTTCACGGTTGACAGCGCGCGATAGGCGATACGGTGTTGATCCCTTTCCGAGTTGATAAGTCTGCTATGAGCTTCATGTTTTATTTTTATCAACATAAAATGATTTTGAACTTTTTACTTTATATTTAACATAAATATGTTATTGACACATTGACACTATTTGTTGTCCCATGTGATGTGATTTTTAATTGTAAAAGTTCTATTTTAATTGTAATTTAGTACAAAATAATCTTCCTTTCTTCCCAGGCGGAAATGTTTGACTCCTCCAAAATGCCTCAAATGCTCTGCTACGAGTGTCTCCAAAGACTCCTGAACTTCATAGAGTTTAGTACTAAGAGCCTTACCTCGTGGACGTGCCTTATGGAGCTCATTGAAGGAGATATCGTAAGTCCATAACTTAATCAAAATCCGTTCAGCCGTTAGGGTGGATGCGAAAGAACGTTTAATCTACTAGCTCATGCAAATATCAATTCGCTAAAAAATAATTAAAACAATAGCGGATCCAGAATATTACCTTGTGGCACTCCACACATGGATTTTTTTAACAGTAAATTTTACATTATTTTTTATATTCCTGTACATTGTTGGTTACAGGTATCTTTTAAACCAATATTAGCATTTCCTCGTATTTCATATCCTTTTATTTTGTTCAGTAGCCTTCCATTTGTACTAAAATCGAATGCCTTACTCATATCTAGAAATAAAGCTATAAGCGATTCATTTACCCTGTTTGCTAGCCTTTGTCACCTGTCATCCGCTTTGCACTGGAGGGAACCTCAACATCTGATTAATTTCGTTGCGGGTCCAATGACAGTTTAACTTTCCCCCGGGATAAACTTGACTTTCACTGGTTGGGTTTTGGTGGTCAAGCTGTAGATCCTGGCTACACAGGAGTTGCAGCGATGGGAACGAGAGACAGGAATAGTCCCGTTCCCAATAGCCATTCACTATTCAATAAAGTCCGGTCGCCGAGTAGATAGAATTTTGTCCAATGACCCCAAGCTACCCATCCTTATCGCTCGCGCGTAAGTATATTGCTGTCGCGACTGCGATGGGCGCCCGCAGTGAGTGTGCGAGCGCGACAGCAACATAATTACGCGCGATAAGGATGGGTAGCTTGGGGTCATTGTACGAAATCCTATCTGCTCGGCGACCGGTCTTTAGTAATAATAAGCTGTTGTAATAAACCTCAATTTTCAGCTAACAATGGACACCATAAAGAACATCAACCGCAAGCAACATTTACTAGAAACAAAACTGGCTCTAACCGTATTCGAACCCAACCACTTCGACTTGCAAGTGGAAGAATACGAGGAAGAAATCGGCGACCAAAAACTAGAAGACATAGACAAAGAAATGTTAGAAGACACCATAGACAAAGAAATAGATGAAACTATAGACAAAGAAATAGATGAAACTATAGACAAAGAAATACTATACCTAGAAGACGGCACCATAGTCGAAACAGAATACCAAGATGGCGAAACCAAAGACAAATCAGCGAGCGAAGATGATGACGACCTCGCAAAACACGAATCCGACTTTGGTTTGCAAAATTCTGACGACGAAAACGATATTGATAAAAATTACGATTACAGTGTAAGAAAAACTAATATAGTAACGCAATACGCGAAAGAGTTTAACGAAATGTTTGAAGTTATTAAAATGACAGAAGAAGACGCGAGAGATGAGATCAATAAAAGGAAGTTTACTGATCATTATAAATCTCTTCGGCGAAAACAGGATAATTCAGATCGAACTTCACTTGGTAAGTTCGTTTGATCATATAATAATAGACCGCAACTACAATAGCTTTGACTGGTTTACGTTCTTTTTAAAGGGACACCACAATTCCGAAAAATAATCAATTCGGTCGTGAATTCACCTGCCAAATTTGTTATATTACGGCGACAATGGTATTAATAAACGTGTTAGGTTATGATGGGACTGACGTACATCTATGTAAAAGTCCCTAAATAAATAAAGAAAAAAAAACGTTTTAGGCTGAGTTGCACGGTTGCACCACCTTATTTTAACCATGACTATAACCGGTGTTTTTTGTATGGAGTTTAACAGACTTTTGACGTTTGTGAAAGTTAAAATAAGAGTGTGCGGCCCAGCCTTAATGAAACATAGTTTAACACAGAATTACCTTGTGATAAAGAAATAGGTATGAATATATTTTTTTCCAGTTTGTTTAGTAAATTAATATAAACATAACTTTTTAGTCATCAGTCTGTTGTCCCCCAAAGTCAAACTTATCCTATGTTTCTTCCTCAGGCCCAAACATGTCTAAATTATCAGTAAATTCGGTGTGAAAATACTCGTAGTTACTTACATTTGCCTTTAAAATATTAAGTACAGTAAAGAAATGACTTTTGGAGTCTATCGATAACACGAACAGCAAATCAATCTCGTTAATAACTCTTTTCATTAATTATTAATTAATTTGCTTTGACTTTACCACTCAACAAATAGTAGATAGGTACGTTCGGCGGACAAATATACAGACTGGAGACTGCTCCACCTGTCTAACCTTGTCGAAACATTAATATAATTAAACCTAATTGCGTATTTCGAAGACCAAAGCTATAATAATGATAACTCAAAGTTCTAACGACGCCATCTTATAATACAGGGCTAAATAATTCGGGAGCAGTAATAACTTTAATGTATTTCTTACTGCCACACAACCTTGCTTATGCCAGGCTTATAAAACGGAGTAGCAGCTGAAATTCAGCGAAATAATACCAAACTTCGATCAAGTTTTTACTAGACTTTAATAAGTATTTTACGTGACCGAGTGGTTTTATGTCAGAGATGTATAAAATATAAATACGACGTACAAGTAACATTCATACTTGTTATACCCTTTTGATTGTCTTCATTTAGGAAGTACCGTATGTGCCATTGGCTTTTGTGGATTGGAATTATAATGAAAGTATAAAGCATTTTGGGGTTGAGTTGATTATATGAAATTGCGATCAATATTTGAATTTGAACAATGCAATTTTCTTGTTCTAATGTTAGCGTAGTGTTTAATCTACTAGAGAATATCTAACTTAAGCGTTTAATTAAGATGTTATTTTTTAAAGTCCATTTAACTAACTAAAGTGATTGGATCAAGTTTTTACTAGACTTTAATAAGTATTTTACGTGACCGAGTGGTTTTATGTCAGAGATGTATAAAATATAAATACGACGTACAAGTAACATTCATACTTGTTATACCCTTTTGATTGTCTTCATTTAGGAAGTACCGTATGTGCCATTGGCTTTTGTGGATTGGAATTATAATGAAAGTATAAAGCATTTTGGGGTTGAGATGATTATATCAAATTGCGATCAATATTTGAATTTGAACAATGCAATTTTCTTGTTCTGGTGTTAGCGTAGTGTCAATCTACTAGAGAATATCTGCTAACTTAAGCATTTAATTTAGATGTTATCCAGTTGAATTGTGATTTTTTAAAAAGTCCGTTTAACTAACTAAAGTGATGAAGAAAATTACGTTTAATGAGTCTCATCTGATTTATTGAACATTTGCATTCCTTTAAAAAGCTGCACGCACATAATGCTCTCAAACTCATAATAATTACATTTCGCCCTCCCTAATGTTCCGGCTCAAAAAATCGAAAATAATCCAGATTTAATCCGCCATTTTGTTCGAACACGAACGCTCTAATTAACCATTACCTTTCCCCGGCATTAATTATGTCGCTATAAATACAGCGTTTATCAAACGTAAATCACACTTAGCTTTTATCAGCGACTCTGCGCGCCTTTGTTATAATTATGATCAGTTAGAAAATCCGAACACATTTTTCGTGGTTTCAATCTCGCTAAAATCGACTGTAGATTGTGGAGAATAAAAGTTAAATTCGAATAAACGGTTGATGCGTTAATATGTAAATACGCCACTACAATCTGACGTTAATGTGAATCTAGTGGCGCCCTCTTCCGCAGCGTAGGTACACGCACGTGCGGCCGATGCGAGTACACCCTGTATACGGGAGGGAGCCAAACAAGCCATTTATTCGTTTGGAAAATTCGCTGTTTTGTGTGAACAATATCAATTTTCGTGTAGGCACTTTTCAACGCAGTGCACTTTTACTGTCTACGTTATGTGTACAAAAGAATTTCTGGTGTTTTGGATGTTATTCCGAAAAATGGAATTGGAAAATAACGGTGCAAGCAGTGGTGGGGTTAATACTGGGATGTGTAAAAGTGCTTTATAAAAGCCTACTTGCTTAAATAAATGACTTTTATGAGTTTTTAACATGTTTACGTAAACTATATTGTGCTTCGCTCGAGAACCATGAATAGCTGTACTCGTATTGTAACCTTTTTAGAGTTTTCATTATTATCTACGATCTCTATCAAGACTGTAGAAACATCTGGATATGTTATAAAGATGAACTAATTACTAAAGTACTCATTGAAAATAAATGATATTTTACTTCTTCTTTTCATTGATATCTTAATTGCGATTAAGAGAGATTATAAGTTCTTCTTAAATCACCATATTAATCCGTATTAGGTACGTTTCGCGGAAACACATTATATTCAAATTCAACAAACAGCGAGAAAACACCGAAAAACAATTTCTTCTGGCGAACCAACTTTTAATCGTTCTAAAAACTCTTCAGCGGTTTTTAATGTGAGCTCAAACACGTGTGTGTTTTGTACGTGTTACGAACTCCGGGCCGTGTCACGGCGGAACACGTTGCCGGGAGCCGTGTCACGGCATAACGTTGCCCGCGGCCGTGACAGAACAACCGAACAACTCAGAACACGGCCTGATTATCGTTAATATTTATTCATCGCGATTAAACGCAGCTTTTTGAAAAGTTTGAGCCTTTTACTTTGTTGGCGAGTGCGATGAGTTGAATATCCGTAACGTCAGGCGCATTAATGTACTCAGGCATTAAATGTTATGTACTCATTTGGAACTTTGATTACAGCCTAGTTGATAAAAGTGATAACATTATGAGACTTCTGTAAATCTCTCTTAGCCTAGGCGCAGACCACCGATTTTTCGTCGGCCGATACTTTAGTCGGGCAGTTGTTGATCAGTATGGGCATGTATGGAAGTGCGCACATTACACCGACTGATTCTTCATACAAATTAGAATCGGGTCCAACTAATATCTAATAAATTAGTAACGACCACCATTTAATATTCAAGGCTAAAAATCCTACGAACTACATTATGAAATAGAACTACAATACCTTTAAATTCTCTTTGCTATACCAAAATGATATCTAACAGCGTTCAGTTCATTATCCGTGCCTAAAACTTCATCCGCTATAACTCCATGTTAATGATGAAACAATAATAATTATTATCAGCAAACAATACAGATAAATCGACTGTATCGTGGTAACTACCGTTAATGATCAACGATACAAGAGGCAGAACTTGGCATCGTATTTAACACTAGTGTTGTGAAAAGCTAAGTAAAGATAACTTATAGATAAATAACTATTAACTAGACAGATAACTGTAAGTATTATCATAATAGTATTGTAGTATCTGAGATTATTATTGAACTATGTTTAGGTTTATACAGGGTGACTTTGAAATCGTTGGCATACTTTTAAAATTAGGCTCTACTCATGATACATTCCCCAATATAATATGAGACAAATCCAATAAGTTAAAATTTGAATATTAAAAATCTTGTACAGACGATAGCACATCAATTTTAATAGGTACTGTGGCATCTTATTTCGATGTATTAAGTGTTATTTTGCAACAAAATGTATTACAATCAACATGTTTGGAATTACAAAACTTGAGTGTTTGGATTTCAATAAACATTGTCATGTACAAACTTTCAATGTATTTGAACTAACATTCAAAATTTCATCATTCTTAATCTATCCTAGACTTAAGTCCCCAGCTATATGGACCGAAGACCTCTTGAAACTAGCTAGCAGTGACTCTACAAAAACTTACGTTTTTTGGGCTCAAAACTTTACTAATTTATTTCTATTCTATCATAATTAGTACAAATTATCAGCAGTCTAATATTGATACTGATATCGACAGATCTATAGTTTTAGATAACATCGATAGACCGTCGTCTGTCTGATTCAAAGTCAACAACACTACTTATTTCATTTGCAGGGGAACGTGAGCCGACTGAATTTAGGTCCCGGCAAATATTGACTCGCGCTTGTGTGCTAAAAAGATTGTGAGAAAAAACGTTACCTATTTAGGTACACCGTCTTTCTGTATCAATCTTGGTGCAGTATGTGAAACATCACATAACAAATAACAGGTTTTACAAAGATTCAATTCAATGTAACAGGCTGATTAATCATTCAAGTAAAAGAAAAACGAAACAAAAAAGCGACCTTTGGAGTAACGATTTGTACAAGTAAAGAACTGGTCATTGTATTCAATTGACGTCAGGAAGGTTTCTATTATATTCTTTATCGGCCAGTTAAGTTCACTGCTGAAAGAAAGCCTGCATGAAGTACTTAGCACCAGAGTATGGGAGAACCCACATTGATCATCCGGGCTCTACACGCCACTATCTTTATTATGTACCTAGTTATCGGTAAATTAACGCTTTGCTATGAGATACATAGGTAGCATAATTATTCACAAAGTTTTGTGTCTATATAAATTACGTTATTTAATGCCACGTGTTATAATGAAGATAAAATAAAGATGTGAGAACATATCAAAATACACGTTTGAATCCTCGCCCTATGAGTAGGTAAGTAATTACTTAACATGAAATGGACCACTTACACAGCCTCGTCTCCAAAAAATATGAAGTCACTCCAATGTTTACGATATAATTACATTATTAACTTGCTGTGTAGGTTATTTATGTAATCAAAGTGATGAGAAAATTATTTTCAGGCCCGAACGTTACTTTTCACTGTTATTAGCAGATTAGTTTCTGGATTAGTGTCAGGAAAATTTAATCAACTCCGCTTTTGGGCTATGGAATAAACTCGTAAATATTAGACTTTTCTTTACGAAGCTTTAGTCGTTTGGAATGATTAACTTGTAATTAGAATTTAGGCAATTTCGATTTTGTATCGATTTACTCCGTTTTGGAGATTGGACATAACATTATGAAAACTCGGACGAGACAAAAAGGTAGTCCAATCAAGGCTATATTACTGAGATAAAATGTAGTAGGTACTTTACCATTTTATGAAACTAGTTTTTAACCACGTGGCTTACCTAATGATAACGCTTTTGGCGCGAAAGGTTACAAATATCCTACCATCTCCACAAACTTTCACATAATAATAGGTAGAAGAATATGA